AACCATTTTATCAACAGCTTCAAACAATTAAAATAAAATAGCAGCGACCCAACACTAATTCATACCATTATCGTTCGGAGAGCGTAAACAATGCCTTTGCGCATGCAATTTTAGATTCAGATTAATTTATTTCGCTTTGTCATGTGTATGGCGTGAAGCAAGAGGTCATCTTACAAAGTGAGAATTGAAATATGGCTGGCATATTAAGTATTAGCTAATTACATAACTATACATAGAAAGAAAACATATCAAAATGGCGGGTGAAAATGAGGTGGGGGCTGTTATCGGAGATTTAGACAGGGGTGGTTGGTATAATGCTCAGTGATTTTTAAGACTCAGATATTTGAGTCCTTACTCATGCTTTTCTGTGGGACTCATTCAAATTTTGGGAACCTACTATACTTCTTAATACTGGGACTCATCAAAAGTTTGAAATTCATGTCCTAGATTCACTTGAAAAATCCTACAAAAATCACTGATGGTATCAACCAGTGATTGACAATATGGTTTAGTGTCTATATCACATGCTAAAACTACTTCTCCTAACCAGAAAGCAAACTTGGTACAAATTCAGGCAATGATCGATTTACACAATTTGAAAGATTCAGTATGACAAATAAGAAGGAGCGAGGAACATGTAGATAATGTGTTTATATAAACATGTCTGCGATGATAGAACAATATTTTTCCTTTTTCGCGAGATCTGTACAATAACAATCATTTCGTCTGGAAATTAATCATATGTCACTTTTCTAGACATTTTGATGTTATCATTTCGGCTAGCACCTGTCATGGCTTTTAAACACATATGTATGTCGACTGTTTGAACAATTTGTATAAAAATCTGTGTCCAAACAGTCCCCCCATCAAGTATGAAATTGCATGCCAAGAATCCACAGCAACGGAACCTGATGTCCCAGGTAAGAAGTTCCAGGTGAGAGAAAGTAGGAACTAAAGTCCGGACGAACATTTTCTTTGACTAGGTCAAAGTCAAAATTTAGGCCATAATGACCTCATTTTGATACAAGACAAGCAGTATGAACGAGGGACAAGTGGTGTAGACGATAAAACTCAAACTAACTGTTTCTTTGATGTAGGTCAAAGACGTTAAGACGGATGCACGGACGAAAGTATGGACGGACAATGCTTTCCGATGGGAGATTAATTAAGATGCCTTCACTTTTAATTACCAGAGATACTCTTAAACAAACATTACAAGTATTTTATCATTATTCGTGATACTTTAAAGGTGTTCTGCGTGTTTGTCACGTCCATCGCAGTGAGATCCTCTACTAAGATGTCCTGGAGATGGACCTGTACAATGTACAACTATTCTGACTTGTATCCGGATCCCATTGTCTTTATATTTGTGTAGCTATATTGGTTGTAATTCAATTTCGAATGGTATAATGTTTTTCTTGAGACTCCTAATCCGTCCATATTGCAAAGCGATGTTTCTTTCTTTATTTATTTTCTTTCTTTCGTTCTTTATTTATTTATTCATTTATTTTATCTGAAAATGTTCATTTCTGCTAATTACAAAACATAGTGGCTGTCACAGACTTATTATAAATTATTGTTTAAAGAAATGCAATGACATGAAATAAACAATAATGAAAAGTTATTGATGCATAAAATCGGTAATAATATAATTAACGCGACACAGTATAAAGATCGAGATCTCTCGGGATAATAAAGAGTTCTGAATGAGCCAGAATATATGTTGTGTTCTAGCCCTGGAGAAGGTACTAGATATGCCGATGTCAGTTATATAATGACCATCAGTAAAAAAAACTGTAGCCAGGTTGGAGAAACAACTGACTAGTCGTTGTGTCACAACAGTTTTACAAACAATGGACCAGAAATAACACCGGCATTAATTGTACGGAACCTTTGCAAATTTTCACAATTTCAACTTCTGGTGTTTACAATTTCTTTGCACATATTTTCTTGCGTCATGTAACTCAAAACCTGTGATAAACCTGACATGTGGTTTAGATCGACAAACTCGAGCGCTCAGTACGAGAAGAAAGACAACTCGTGGAACACGTATATTTCCCTTCTTCTACCTACCCACGGTCAATGTGAAATAGTGACAAGGTTTGTTACTCCAGGGAGGAGGAAATCCAACATATATTTCTTTAATTATGTTTTATGCCCTCGATTCAAAACATCGGGGGCATATTGTTTTGTGCTGTCTGTCTGTTGTCTGTCTGTTGTCAACTTTAACCTAAGTCATACGTATTGCACCGTAAGATGTCGGACTTTCATATTTTGCATGTGTGTTCCTTGTGACAAGACTTTTCCGGCGGTATCACAATTTTTCAACATGCGACCTTGGCAGTGACCTTTAACCTACATTTGTAAAACATTAACATTGGCCATAACTATTGCGCCGTAAGAGGTATGGCTTTCACATTTGGCATGTGTGTTCCTTGTGATAAGACCTTCTCGTTGGTACCAAATTGTTAACCATGTTATCTTAATCTTGTTGTAACCGGGGGTATTTCATAAACACACCTTGTCTTTTATATTCTAGGGGTCATAGATCTTGGTAACACATGCATTACCTTTCAGAGAAATGTTTTATCGTTTCCTTGAGTGTTTAATTGGCCAAGTATAGACAAAGTTATGACCTGACGAATTAGGAAATATGTATAGAAATGGCTAGTTAAGATTAATTTCAAATTTTCTTTAAAATATATTTATATATACAATGATTAGAAGAATTCATTACATTTCCAAATTTAATTATATGTCCCTACGTATTTCGGCGAATTGAAATTGAAATTGAAATTTTCAAGGGGTGAAAATCTGAACGCAGCACTCCAACGTGAAATTCCCGTATTCCAATATTATAATAAAAAACAGAAGAACGACAATCATATCATTTCAAATTTTCTTTAAATATTTATGTCGATATTTTGAATATCTAAAACTTTGTTTGAATTAATAACAATTTCACGTTTGGACTCTGCGTCACCGTTTTCGCCACCCGAAAAAATGCAAATTGCTGTATTTATTTTTTTATCGCTATCTTTTGTAAATTTTCAAAATCCGAAGACACTTTTCTAAATACACAATACAAATTGCAACATTCAGTATAAAACAACAAACATCAGCATTCTCTCAGTTGTTCTAATATCAAAATTTCTTTATTTAACCTTTTTATCCATTATCAAATATTACCACATGGAACCTCGGGTAAGCAATCTTTTTGTCGTATTTTTTTTAAGAATTGAAGACAAACCCGTTAGCAAACACTTTTTCAAAGACAAAACATTTCACTTAAAGGTCAAGTATAATGTATATGTATATATTACTAACATTAACGACCATTGCAATATAAAAACATTTTAAAACATATGTTCAATTTTCACTTATATATATATTTAAACCATGAGTTGGGAATTCTTGCCAAGTCCCTGTGAGCCAAAAATACCTTACTTTAATGTAATTTGTACCTATATGAAGGTGTCTACCAAAATGTATAAGACTTCGATAATTTTTTTCCATAAAAACTGTCCATTCTTACAATAGCATGACTTGGTCTTGGTCACCAAGAAGAATGGTCTGGTAATCCATGTTAATGATGATGGATAGGTTATACCGATTGAGCTATAGAGCAGTTCTCTTTATCTCGATCGGAGTAAACCAGAGGTTTTAGGTTCGAATTTTAACGGAGATATTGAAATTTAAAAAAAAAAATCATCTATTACAACGGGATAACTTTTCGTTACTGTACGAATGCAAAGCTAACTCAAATAAAGATAGACGTAACCACGAGAAAACCTTTTAGATTAACAAATCCCCTTAAAATGTTATCAATTTGTTTTTTAAGGAGAGGGCTGGGTATCCTAATTTCATCTTTAAACTATTGACGATGAACTTGATAATAAAATTTCACATGAAATAAACAAACGTTAAGAATGAAAAGTCAAGTGATAAGAAAGACTTGTAGCGTTACTGTTGGTGTGTAAACTGCATTTCTGTACAGACATTTTAAATGACACGTTCGTTACCTTGAAATATCTATTTTTGAAAAAAAAAATGCGGTTTACACAAAGCAAAAGGAAAATTGATCCTATATATACATCTGTCAGGTTTTTAATTCGCTTTTAATACATGATGATCATAATTCATTGTATGATGTACGAACTAACGGACCGACAATTGATGGAATAGCAAAACAGCTGAATCCAATTTGTTGGAAGGCGGACAGATAACTACTGAGGTTGTGAAATACAGGCAGTAAACAGAAAACATTTCCACATTAACATCTTTTTATTTCATTTTTATGAAATATTTTAAACATTTACCTTTTAATTTTTCAATTATTTGGTTTACATAAATCAAAGAATGTAAATTAGAACAAATGCAATAAGAGATTCACACAAATTTTTACCGCAAGCGCACAGCGGCTGGACTTCCTACGCACCGGACTTCACGTCTACCAACTTCAAAACCAATCTTGTTGGTAAGGCCAAATAGAAAATACAAATCGGAAATGTAAATATTATTTCAAATCTTTCTTTTTTTTCTTCAAATACGAAGCGTTGAATAATAAAACATGGCACCATATCAAAAATATGTAACCATGGTATTAGTGATTGCTTCTTGGTACATTAAAACTGAGTATTAGATACGTTTTGCTCTTCACGGCCAATGAACGATAGAAAACTAAGTTTTCTGTTGTTATCTTTGATGTCTTATGACAGCGTCTAAAACGTCATGGTACTATATCATCTAGTTTGATAACTTAGTACCAGTTCAGTATTCTCACTATAGCAGTGTTTTAAAATGCGACTCTAACTAAGGAAACTATTTATATGAGGGCCGTTCTTTAAACTCCGAGAAAAATTGCAAAAATAGTCAGTTATTGACGCTCAGTAGACCCATGAACATATGGTATTTTAAGGTAAAACGATAAAAAGGCGTACTTTCAATGTAAACGTTCATCACAGTAGAGGTACGAAAACTATTTTTATTAGAAAAAAACTTTAGTGTGGTCTGCTGTCATTTCGAACTGTTTGTGATTCACCAAGGTCCGTGACGTCAGACACATCGTCATTGGTCTGGAATGCATTGTTAATATAGCTGTGTCCATTCGATACATGTTTCGTGCATTTAAGTTGACTTCCGTTTCTAGTAACAATCACGTGACCGTTAGACTTCTCCTCAATGTTAGCATTATCCACATCCGTAATATCCATATTCTCTCCAGTGTCCGTGACCTCTGTTGCGGAATCTGAAGCCTGACTTTTTGCTGGAGTTTTGATGCCGGAATCTTCGGATATAAATCCGGACGCGCTGTCCGTTTCCTCACTTTTTGGAGAAGCAGTCCGTTCACTTCTTTTCTTCCGCCACCACCACCAAATCGGTCTTGACGTGACGTACGCAGGGGTTGTGCGTTCCTCATGAGTCATATGACGTAACAATCGTTCTGCGTGATTCCTGATGTCATCAGTTGGCTCAACATCGTGTTCAAAGTAATCGGCGCCATATAGCTCTTCCTCCAACGTCATACGCAGTCCTATGGTGAGGTCAATGCCTTTTAGAATGATTGATGACGTCACGACCGTCCATGCGATGATGGCGGCTATTGCTAATAACTGCACGCCGAGTAGATACCAACCGCCACCCTACAACGAATAGTTAAGCAAAGTTAGATAAAAGTAAAATAAAAAGTGGGCGTGTAGAATATCATTATTGCGCAAAGGAATGTTTAATACCACTGAGAATATCAAGTGCTTGTTATAAGATTTGGAAAACTTCACTGCTGTTGTTGTGATTTGTGTACACGTCAAAATGATGTCTCTGGTTTTTTCTCTTACCCAGAATAGGCCGTCATGAAAACTAAAGGACTTTTCCACATTGTCTTTGGTGGCAAATAATCCACAGCTGATCATCCCCCACAGAGATCCAGCAAGGTGTACCGCTGTAGCTCCAACAGGGTCGTCTATCTTAAGTTTCACTAATAAAGCTTCCGCTCCAGCTGTGACGCATGCGCCTATAGCACCAATGACAACAGCCACCCAGGTCCTAGTTACGGCACAAATACCTGGTGGAAAACAATCTAAGGTTTTACATGGTCTTCTGTCAGTCAACATCTGGGCCATTTTTAGGCGTGGTCTGTGGGCTGCCTCACTGGCCACCATTCGGAAGGACTGCCGCATGCATCAAGCAAGAAGAGTAATGTTTCATGACAAAAATCATTAAGAATATACCAAAATGGCAGCATTATCATACTTAAAACTGAGATTCCATAAAACTTGGGTATCTTCTCCTTCATACGGTCAATCACCTTGGTCAATCCAAGGGCAAAGACCATAACCAATGTACACAGATCAAACCGCTTCTCTGTTTCCTGAGTTAGACAAAACGCTACCTTAAGGGAGCATGGAATCAAACGCCTCGAATCTTCACCTAAGGTTTCGTAAGCCAATGCTCTGATCATATTAATTTTCCTTCGTTAAGTACACTTTGTGTGTCATACATCTGTACACAATTCCAACACAACTCACCTGTTATACTCACGAGAGATCCCAGAATTCCGTTCACCAGCAATGCGATGTCATATTTTCCTTTGTGGATGAAGAAACTGTAAAACGGAAAATATGTGCACTTTTTCATAAGTTGAAACAAGACGGAACTTTAACAGCAGCAATCCCTAGTGCACATCTCGGAACCCACCTGTACGTATAATCACTGTACAACACCTAACCAGTCAATTGGACATATGCATGCTGAATCTGCCATATATTAAACATGTTGGTATTTTGACTATGACTGTTTTAATTAACATTGTCATTTTGTAAAGTGTTTCGAACACTTACCAAAAAACACAGATATAAAGATAATACAAATATTCAAAATCTTGTTATTTTATCATTTGACGCTGCGGAGTAAAGTTGAGGCGTGCTCCGACCAAAACAAATATTACTGCGCGCGTCCGGTTCCAGAACTAGTCAATCCGACTTGCCACTAACGAACTGTGCGTGAATAAACAGACGCCACAAAATGGATCACCGGTATCGCTGTGGTGTGAAAGTTACTCCCAAGACAACAGGGGGAAATTGTAACAAATTGTTAACTTTTCAAACGAAAGTGAAATATACGCATGCGGCTGAGGGATACAAAGTTGTAGGAACACTGTCAATGCGACCTCCAGATGAATCCAAGTAAACTTTTAGGAATAGCTTGAAATCAGATTACTTGTGGCAGTTTCTTAAGCATATAAAATCGTATTTTTTGGCATTTGCCTGTTAAAAAGATTAGGAACGTACCTTAATGTAAATGCCATAGTTCCCCCACCACAAGCTGCCAGTATTGTTGTCGCTGCTGATCTGTTAAAAAGCAAGACAATATTTGAAGTATAATGGAATCTTCCACGCATTCGGGGGAGGGGGGAGCAGATCTAGAGAGAGAGAGATGGTAGTTAACTCGAGGGCATCGACTATTACGTTATATGACACGAGGTACAACGAATGTTAGCAACTTGATAATTTTTTTCAGACGTTGAGATATCGTTTCCAATCAACATTTATCGTCTTTTGATATGTTCGCATGATTTCAATATATTTATGTCACTTAGCATATAAATATGAAGATTTTAGAATAATATATTTTCTAACATGCACGTTTTCCTGTAAAAAATACCATACAAATGAGTTTTTTTTCAAATTCATTATATTTTCTGTAGTTTTTTCTACAGTGGTAATATCATATCTATGAATGTTAGAAAAAACATCAAACAAAATTACTACCTGGCGGCTAACTTCCATTTTCCGCCACTGATACCAAATGTACTACCACAGTTGAAACCGAGCCATCCCCACCTGAAAACAAAAAAAAGTTGGAAATAATAATATATATTTGTCTGTGGTATAAAATTCTTATACACAAAGAAATGAAACATTGCGTGTTATGTGCTCGTGAAAGATGTAAAATTAAGTTGTCTCAAAGTGTTTCACTGGAACATTGCATTCATTCCAAATAAAAAAGTAAACTGATATTTGTAAAACAAACGATTGTTTCTTACCTGAAAGATAACGTTGTATTTCATAACAAAATGTACAATTTAGTTTCCAAAGCTTTTCATGTTTTGTTTGCAATCAAGACAACTTGGCAAAGTTTTTGTCATAGAAAAAACAGATTGTTTAGAAATGCCTTCTATGATTGCTGAGTTACATCAAGACAAAAAAAAAAAAAAAAAAAATCTTTAATTATGCAAATTTGAGTTCGTAACTATGGCAACAACAGCTGAAACAACAAATAATTATCAAAACAATGTATCAGTGGTGTAATTAAAATTTAAAATTTGGAAAAGATTTTCGAGTTAAATTAAGTGTTTTAAAATTTCATGGATTTTGGGGTCAATAATGGCCGAAATCATACGAAGTCAGTCCTTTCTCATCGTATTGCGGTCATTTGATTGAAACTATACCTACTAATCATTGTAGAGACATTAAATGTACGTAAGTGACGAGAAAAATTCTCGGATATTCGGTAATGGTGGTTTGTCTATAATTGTGTCGGCGTCGTTCATTGCTGTACAGATAAAAGATAAAAACTTTCGAATTTTATTTATCAAAATCTTCTGAAGTGGTAATTCGTCATCTAAGACTGTTAGACCATGATTGTTTGACTAAGACTGTTAGACCATGATTGTTTGACTAAGACTGTTAGACCATGATTGTTTGACTATGACTGCTAGACCATGATTGTTTGACTATGACTGTTAGACCATGATTGTTTGACTATGACTGCTAGACCATGATTGTTTGACTATGACTGCTAGACCATGATTGTTTGACTATGACTGTTAGACCATGATTGTTTGACTATGACTGTTAGACTAAGACTGTTAGACCATGATTGTTTGACTATGACTGCTAGACCATGATTGTTTGACTATGACTGTTAGACTAAGACTGTTAGACCATGATTGTTTGACTATGACTGTTTGACTAAGACTGTTAGACCATGATTGTTTGACTAAGACTGTTCGACTAAGACTGTTTGACTATGACTGTTTGACTAAGACTGTTTGACTAAGACTGTTAGACCATGATTGTTTGACTAAGACTGTTCGACTAAGACTGTTTGACTAAGACTGTTAGACTAAGACTGTTAGACTATGACTGTTTGACTAAGACTGTTTGACTAAGACTGTTTGACTAAGACTGTTAGACCATGATTGTTTGACTAAGACTGTTTGACTAAGACTGTTTGATTATGACTGTTTGACTATGACTGTTTGACTAAGACTGTTTGACTAAGACTGTTCGACTAAGACTGTTTGACTATGACTGTGAGACTAAGACTGTTTGACTAAGACTGTTTGACTATGACTGTGAGACTAAGACTGTTTGACTAAGACTGTTTGACTATGACTGTGAGACTAAGACTGTTTGACTAAGACTGTTTGACTATGACTGTTTGACTATGACTGTTAGACCATGACTGTTTGATAAAGACTGTTCGACTAAGACTGTTTGACTATGACTGTTTGACTATGACTGTTTGACTATGACTGCTAGACTAAGACTGTTTGACTAAGACTGTTTGACTAAGACTGTTTGACTATGACTGTGAGACTAAGACTGTTTGACTAAGACTGTTTGACTAACACTGTTAGACTATGACTGTTTGATAAAGACTGCTAGACTATGACTGTTAGACTAAGACTGTTTGACTAAGACTGTTTGACTATGACTGTGAGACTAAGACTGTTTGACTAAGACTGTTTGACTAAGACTGTTTGACTATGACTGTGAGACTAAGACTGTTTGACTAAGACTGTTTGACTAAGACTGTTTGACTATGACTGTTTGACTAACACTGTTAGACTATGACTGTTTGATAAAGACTGCTAGACTATGACTGTTAGACTAAGACTGTTTGACTAAGACTGTTGACTATGACTGCTTGAATAAGACTGTTGGCTAAGACTGTTAGACTAAGACTGTTAGACTATAACTGTTGACTATGACTGCTTGAATAAGACTGTTTGACTATGACTGTTAGACCATGACTGTTTGACTATGACTGTTGGCTAAGACTGTTTGACTGTGACTGTTGGCTAAGACTGTTTGACTAAGACTGTTACATGACAATTACAGGTACGTAGGCAATGTGTGAAGTTCTCAGATGTTCAGGAACGATGGTCTTACAATTGTGTCTGTATTGGTTTTGCTGCAAATCTTCTATCTTATGATAAAAGACGATCCGCGAGTTTCTCCGTATTGATCCAACTTTGTTGTAGTGAAACGCGGGTCAGTGTCGAATCCTTATGATAAGAAACTTCGTGACAAAAACCGAAACAGTCGCTGTAAGCTTGGGTGATTTGAACAGTCCTAGTGGTGTTGATATGGGAGCTCATTGTCCTGTCTTTGTACTTATTGTACATTTACGTGTCACCAATCAATACTTGTCACTAGCGCTACAATAAATCTACCATAAAAGGAGTGATATGGTAACTGAAGGACTAGAACACCAATCGCCATGGACATGGGGTGTCGAACCATCTGAGGTTGAGAAGACAAACGTTCTAAAAGAGGTTTTGTCGCCCCGTAATTGTCAGGATGTACATAGGTGTCGCCACTGATCAAGGAATGCAATACAATTGAAGTGAATTTATGCCAGTACATCATATTCTTCTACTTAGTATTACTATAACTAGGAATGCATACCACAAAATGAAGAGTCCTAGAAGGGCGTTGACCGAGTTACCGTGATTGACAGTTCCGCCTTCTTTCGAAAATCGCCCATAACGAGGCTTCACCATAATGGCGGCAATCAAAGCAGTAGTTCCGCCCACTAAATGGACAGGTCCTACGCCCGCTACGTCGACAACATGAAGCTTCCTAAGCCATCCACTAGGCGCCCAGATCCAGTGAGCGGGAAAACTGTACACTAGTGTGTTCAGGAGACAGAACACTATGTAAGCTGACAGCTTGGTTCGCTCAGCTACGGCGCCTGAATTTACAAATGTTGAAATGTCAAATTTTATGTCAGTTCAAAATTGCTACTAGTCGACACTTTTAATTAACAACATACTGAAAATAGAACAGTTGCTCTCATAACACAACCAATAGAAGATTAGAATATTGTTTCGATGACTACACGGTCACCTCCATCAGACAAATGACCAGTGTGGAGTGTTCTAGCACTAACGTACGAGATGGTACGGAATCGACACACTTTTTTGGCTGCACTAAAATCCTATGTACACTAAGGTCGAAAATAGTGTGACGAGATGGTAAACAGATTAAAGACTAAAAAATACATTGGTGGTAAAACTGAACTGTAAATGTTTTCATCAGTTAACTGTGTGTTTTTTCTGCTACTTAGGAGATGTTCCATATGTTGTAATCGGGAACTTTGAATATCATTGTATTGTTTCTGGTAGAGTGCCGCGATAGTAATAGTGAACTGAAATACCTGATACAATGGTAGTAGCCGTGGTACAGAATGAAGCTTGGAATATGAACTTGGAAAACACCGTCCCCATGTGTTTCTCGTCTGCAAGATAAGAAGAGTGAAGTCAAAAGATCTTGATACAAGAATGGAACACGAGTACAGTATTTGTTATATAGAAAGAAAACTATCTTCTTCTTTTTGTTTCTTTTTCAAACGTCTACCTTGATCAGTGGCGTAGCGAGGCCTTCATTCAATTGCATGCTTGGGGGTGCAGGGGCGGCAGCTGAAGGTATTTTGATTACAGCATTGTAATCATTCGAAATTATTAAAAAGACCAGCATATATAAAGATTATAAAGATTTTAATCTCACTTGGAAAGTTTCCGGAATATATCGTCGCAACGGTATATAAAACAAATCGCGAGAAAAGAATCATGCACATTATGGAAATAGATTAATAAACAAGAAAAAGAAAACATGTTTTCTCGAATTTTATTCTTGCATGCTTGAGCATGCAAGCATGCACGGACGCTACGCCACTGTTGATGTGATATTCTGTTTTAGATACAAAAATACTCTCCTAAAGAATAAAACTGTAAGAAAAAAATGTTATTTTTCACCAATAAAAACCTTGTTTTGGACTGATATTTTGTTGATTGTAACCCAACCAATATATTATACTATAACTAACCTGGATCTAAAAGGAAGGCTCCGACTCCACTGAAGCCGTTGGAGCCTGAAGAGTCCCCAAACGTCAGTCCGTAGCCAATGGTCCAATATGTCAGTCCCCCAAACACCACATCCACTACATTTTTTACCATGATGTTCACCTCATTCTTTCGGCTGGCCATGCCACTTTCCAGAAGTCCAAATCCTGCAACATCACATCGCAAGTACATTGAAATGTGTTTTCACAGCATTTTCCTACAGAACTTCCTCGCAAAACAACATTGATATATCATGCATTATTCGAAAAATGCCGTACGGAGACACTAACCTGCATGACGTGATGCTGTTTTTGGGTTACTATATTGTGACACGTGATGGCATTCCGGTTACTATATTGTACCACGTGATATCATTCGGGTTACTATATTGTGACACGTGATGTCATTCGGGTTACTATATTGTGACACGATGATGTTTAACCCGACTTAATGGCGAATCACACAGATATCAACATGCATGTATGGTGATACACGAAGATATTAACCTGCCCTGTATTGGAACACACGAAGATAGTAGCCTGTCTGTATGGTGACACACGGAGATAGTAACCTGTCTGTATGGTGACACACGAAGCTATTAACCTGTCTGTATGGTGACACACGAAGATAGTTGCCTGTCTGTATGGTGACACACGGAGATAGTAACCTGTCTGTATGGTGACACACGAAGATATTAACCTGTCTGTATGGTGATACACGAAGATAGTATCCTGTCTGTATAGTGACACATGAAGATATTAACCTGTCTGTATGGTGACACAAGGAGATGTTTACCTGTCTGTATGGTGATACACGAAGATAGTAACATGTCTGTATAGTAACACACGAGGATAGTAACCTGTCTGTATGGTGATACATGAAGAGAGTAACCTGTCTGTATGGTGATACACGGAGATGCTTACCTGTCTGTATGGTAACACACGAAGATAGTAACCTGTCTGTATGGTGATACACGGAGATATTAACCTGTCTGTATGGTAACACACGAAGATAGTAACCTGTCTGTATGGTGATACACGGAGATAGTAACCTGTCTGTATAGTAACACACGAAGATAGTAACCTGTCTGTATAGTAACACACGAAGATATCAACCTGTCTGTACACGGAGATGTTAACCTGTCCGCATGGTGATACACGAAGATGTTTACCTGTCCGTATGGTGATACACGGAGATGTTAACCTGTCTGCATGGTGATACACGGAGATGTTTACCTGTCTGCATGGTGATACACGGAGATGTTTACCTGTCTGTATGGAAATACACGGAGATGTTTACCTGTCTATGTGGTGATACACGAAGATTTTACCTGACTGCATGGTGAAGATGATAAAGGAACTGGTGAGAATCCACGTGGCGTCGTCAATCCAAGCCTCGAGATCGTCTTCAGGGGAGAGGGTCGTTGCTACAGTTGTCGTCCAGCAGTTTGTCGTTGTCCAGTTTGTTGGGGGACTGACAGTCGTCATGTTATCAAACGACATCTTGATCTTTAATTATTCTCCGGTGCTGAGTTCCCAAGAATTATCTGAAACATTCAACAAAAAAAATTGATGGCATTGATTACCTGATTATAACGGTTTTATACACAGAAGAATTTTAATTACACATTCTGTATAGCTGTATACATGAAAATGTCAGAAATCTGCTATACGTTTCACAAATTGATTACCCACAAACCCAAGGTATGGCAATAGTGACACGCTTGGTAGATGACTTACGAGCCATACAAATACAAGTGACACAATAGAACATGACTGAAAGGTATTGAGGCTTTAGAGCAAAAATATAGAATTTCCTTACGTGTTTTTATTAATTTCCATAATAGAAATGTAATTTCATCTTTCTTGTTTTGCCTCTGGCCAATTTTAGATTTAATCCATGCAATTTTCTGATAACTTGAATAGTTTTACTATTAATCAAGATAAACAAGTAGCGTTGAAGAGGCGGTATGATAACAAGCCTTTGCTTGAACGGTAATCGTTCAACCGTAACCCTCTAAATAATTTAGAGATTGAAATATACAACATACATTTTATCGATTTATTGAACAGAGAAAATAACCTGATCAGTCACTTGGAGTTTATTGACAAAAGATATTTTATGACGTTTTGGCGACATTTCATAAATGTAATATTTTATAATCGCAGTTGTGTATGCCGTCTTTACAAAAAAATCCACGGTGATGATAGTTTCCATAGACCTTATTGTTTCACATGTAAACGTTATATCCTTGTCAAATCTCCATGTAAGTTCATTCAGCTAACAAACTTCGGCTGATTGCGGTACCATTAAATAAACATGTATGTAGCAGAGATTGGACTTGTGACAGTCGACATAAGTATGATAATGGAGGCCAAAGACGACGAGTCATGTCGGTAGTAAGTACGTCTTTACATGTGCATGATATAAAGTCAAGTCTCGTTATTACGACTGGATTATCATTAATTACATTGTACATCTTGACAAAAATCTCGTTATAACGACTTAACGTAGCCTAAGTATCACGACATACCTTACAGCATCACAAAGTTTCGTTATATCGAAACATTAAAGTCAAATTATTATAATCAAGCAATAAACTGCCTTTTTATGGCATGTATGTCGCCATAAATGCAAGAGCTTTGCTAGCGTAATCTGTATAGATGTCTGATGACACTATCACACCAGTAAATGACACATGCGCGTAGTGACGTCATTATTATTACGACATAATACGTAAATGATAATTTACGATCCCAAAGAAAATATTTCTGTATTAGATTAAAGGACATGGTATTAACGTGATGTCTGTTGACTTAATCGGTAGACATATCTATTTTAACTTAAGTTATGAATTCAAAACAAATGTTTTTGTTTTATTTCCGAGTTATTTGTTTAATATACAATATCCATTTTTTGTATCGTAATGTTTCAGACATTCATCAATAATGGCAAGAAAAATTCAATATTCAAATTCAATTTCATTAGAATTTGATTCAGAACTTTTGTGTTGTATCAATAGTATTCCACACAATTAATTTTTTTACAGATTTCGGAAATTCTTTTAATTTCTGGATATGTTCACTTTATAAAAGTTCTGCCTGAAACATGTTATGAACAAACTAAATTACATACACAAAAGTCATACCTGGTAGATAAGGCTCCATGTGTTGGTGACAATCTCCAACGTCGGTCTCCAGCGCTGTATCGGCTGACTGCTTTTCATCCTGTGTTTGCCTGCCAGTACTAACGTACTTCTCATGATTGAGTTCGTAATTATATATTGTCAACCCATTAATTATGAATGAATGAAGAAGAATAGACTTCATACACATCTACACACACGCATTATTGATATGAACCGGTCTGAATGAAGGAACAATGTAATTGTATTCAGTTTCGTTTTCTTCATTGCATAATTCTAAACATGAGAAATCATTCAACTTATCAAAACCTTTGTCTGGTAATTTGTTTATCTTTTTTTCCTTTAATAAACCTGACAGGTTTTGAATCTCCTTTCCAACCATACGTTAGATTTTTATTTCAATTTTCGTTTTATTACAAAATTGTATCGGCGACGGTGTGTCTCTACTAAGCTTACCTTCATTCCTGTCAACGCCTTCGGCGTCACAAAATCAATCGATCAATGAAGGTATGGTAAAATTAATAGGCAAGCTGTGGTTCAGCATTGGTGGAGTCACTTGATACCAATGTCGGGGCTACTCTTCTATGACAGACGCCGATATCAAACAGCACATCACTCAAATCAAAACTTTAAGGGATAGAAAAGTTATCATTTAAGTATCCTTCATCTCAGTATGTTGTATTAAAAAACAACTTGAATGTATGGTTGCTACTTAACTTATATCTAGGTATGCTATCAATAATGTAGATAAAAATCTTTGTCGGCGTGCTACATGGTGACGGTATATTTATCAAGGATAACTATAACATCATGACTGTGGGCTTAAAACGGCAACATTTTCGCGTCAAAATGGCTTTTACATTGTCAATAATAAATAATTTAAGTAAAATTCCTGGTTATACTGGAATAAGACGACACCATGCGTAGTGGAGTAAACTGTCCTTTGCAGAATGTCATATCATTTCTGCCTGAGTGGCTATATCATTTATGACAAAAATGATTCGCTTCAATGTAAAACATTTTACACTGTAACAATGTATATGAAAATCAAAAAAAATTTGCCGTTGTCTTGTATAGACATCTCTGTATATATATACGATGCTTCTCACCAGAATGCAAATATATACATTCAGAATATATATATTCAGACAGCACGTGTTACCAGTAACATACTATTAAATTTCCTCAAATCCTCAAGTAAAAATATTAAGGTTAAACGTCGTTAAGGATTATCGTTAAAGTAAGTGTTTAATATTGGCACATATCATTCAATATAGGACACTTGATCAACAAAATAATTCCGACGGGCCAGTAAATTTAACCGAGATTTTCAACAAAGGAAACTGGCAACTGGTCCTTCTCGACCAATGATTTAGTTTCTGAATAATGGGTTTTATGAGCGTGGAAGTTATGGGCATTTTTGTGAGAGTCCAGACAGGGAACCCGGTAACAGTCATTGTGGACAAAATTTGAGACCGATCAAATGTTTTTGTTTGTTACGAATTTTCTCCTAGTAGTCCAGAATGATATATTTACAATGTTATTTCAGGGAGTAAGATTAATGATGATTATTATCCTGGTTGTTGTTCCAGTAATTAGTTAAATAAATCCAAAGTTTTATAGGAACAATACTAGTTTCAGAAACTGCAATAACTTCCGTTAAGTTTTCAATTATTTACACTTTGTAAGGTCTATTTGTGATAGTTTTTCATAATTAACATGCCAATAAATTAATTTAAGGAACCTACCATTTGTTTTCTGTTGTTCAAAGCTATGGGAATACCTTAAATCACGAAAACCTATGTTACATCTTGCGTCATTTTTATAATGTTGTGAATAATCAAGTAATTTTCACTTCCTTTTGACAGAGAAACGGCCCTTTGAACTTTGAAATCTGACAAAATATTCATGTTCTCAGATAAGATCTTGTAATTTGTTGTGTAGCTTGTAATGAAAAGTTACAAATCAGGTTTAAGTTTCAGCTTTTTTTCTCCTTTTATGACAGGAATTGCCCTTTCAAGTTAAAATCGTTTTCATGGGATTTGGATCTCTTTGACTGTAGAAAGTGAGCGGAAATTGTGATAACAAGTTGACGCTCAAGGTTTCGACTTCGATCATTATTACCCTATTGAACAAAGATATTAAGGAGTAAGGTGAGAATTTTGGCTTGCTTTGTTTTAATTTGATTTATTTGTTTGTTATTTTGTTTGTTTGTTGTTATGTTATATTACTCCGTGCAAATGCAGAAAAATGATTTCAACTGGAACATTTTTAGTTATTACTGCTTTCCGGTCAAAGTACTGATGCTTTCTTTTTGAGTGTTGTTACAAAGACTATGTGCGTTTATCTTTTTATCTTAATCATTAAATGATAACATCGGTATGTATTTAGCTGAAAACTATGTAATAGGTTCGTGATGCTTGTTAAACACATGTTTTAGCCATAGTGTGAATACGTTAAAATAATTATGAATATGTCAGTACATTTCTGTTTGGGGACAGGAAACGAACATTTTCATTTGGTCGAGGATATGTGTCGTGTCATAAATATTCGGATAGTAGCCAAAGGTGTGGAGTTGAGGGGAACAGTTGTTGACGAACATTTCACTGATGTTGACAACATTGCTGATTATTTATCATCAACTTTAAGAAGAAAACAATTGTCACATTACCAAACTTGGATTTCGAACCCGACGGTCAGACGTATCACAAAAACAATGATGACTAAGTGGATCATATTGTGTTGTGTTGCTTTATTAGGACTAGACATTTGTGTTCAAGCAGAAGCAAAATCTCGCAAGGGTTGTGATGTAGGTGCCGGAATGAAACGGTGAGATAAAACTAGATTTGTTAAGAAATTTAATATGATATTACCAGATCAGAAAAAGTAATAGTATTAACGCGCGTATGTTTGTGGTACTCTTATTTTCGCGACAACTTTATTTTTTTGCTCTAATATCAGACTCCATATGGCGTTAATAAGCTATTACTGTGAATGCTCGAATTCATCATTGAATAAATATTTCGTCAAAAACAAAATGTGCCAAGATTAGTACGATACAATAAATACAATTTCCGTTCATTATTGCGTAACGAATTGCGTTGTCTAGAACTATTTTTTATCAGTTAAAAGTATTAGATAGAGATGTTTTATACAGATTATTCTTATAGGGAATTTGTATACTGTCAATCATTTCATCCAGGTTTTTTCTTATCGGGAAATTGATTTTTGTTCAACATTTGATGACCAAATCGAGGAAGGATCGATGAGATAATTGTTATCATTAGTGAACTGTTTCTTGACAAATGTCTTGTTTTCTTAAATAGTGACATACTGTCAAATTCAATGAAATGGTACATTCCATACATAGTTGTACTTATACACAAGGATGAAATAATTTACAACACTTCTGTACTTGAACATATATCAAGGAAAATGTATGAAGAATGTTCCAAATGTTCAGAACGACGACCAAAATTTCCATTTGGTATAATACATGTAAGAGTCAATCAAAGGAAATTGTCTGTAAACAAATGTTAACTTGTCGGCTGTTATGGAATAAAAACCACGCTATGTAGCTCACACATTCGCACTTCGCGTGTTTAATCAAAATGTCTTTTTTTCTGGACGTTTTAAGCTTTTCATACATTTATCATATGAAGATATTTTAATACTTATGACGGGTAAGTACTGTGGTATGATTATTCATTTTTCTCTATACTGTATCCAACTCTAAAATTGTATTGAAAGGTGCTATTCACTTGTGTGTCTTTTGTACAATCTGTGTGGACATTATTTCGCACATATTGAGGGACGTGCTTTACGACAAAAATTCCGGGATCAATGACTACTATTCGAGTTTTTCAACAATAGGAACACTATCATATATTACAGTACAATGTTGAAGCATTACCGAACCGCTTTTGTTGAGCGAAAACAAATTTCAACACTAACATTTCAGCAAATGAATTTACTTAAAAAAGAAAAAAACTCCCAGTAGAAAACCAGATTTCTTGTGATTAAGAAGTGATATTTTTGTATGAGGGTATGTATTTTAAGTCATCAACGAGATATCCTTATTGTATCGTTTTAAGACTTTGACTGTCTTTTTAGGCGAGCTAAAATCCCTGCATCTTGTAATGAAGGAGTGATTTCGTTCGATTACCCGTGGCTGCATGATAAGGAAAGGTCCCTCATAATCAACGCCAACCGTCCTTCCGATGATTTCGTCCTCTGCATTTATAGCTGTACTGAAGATGTTCTTATCAATGGAGAACAGAACGTTTTAAAGAAAGGTGAGATTATCTGAATAAACAGAGCGTTTTCTATAAACAACTTGTAAATAAAACTGTCTACTAACTGAACATATAGTATCAGATATACCGTAAAATCCTTGATTTTCGTGGATGATTTATTTCAGTGATTCTCGTTGTAACTCTTAATTCAAATTCACTAATTCATATGTTCACAAATCAATTTTTAAAGAAATGTCTTGAACACCATCTATTTGCGAAAATAATTCTTTTGAACTTTTCTTTTGAAAATCCGCGAAAATTGAGCACTGAAAAATGAAAGATTTGCCGTTAACATATACATAAAATAGCATTATTAGAGACAATTTTGTCTTGAATATTCGTTTGCATTTCCACATGTGTTCTCCAACCGGTCTTTTATACTCTGTATAGATATTGTTATAACGCCTGTAAAACAGTCGAAATAAGTATTGTGTCAATGCCAGTCCGACCATTTATATATGACGTTGAATAGGTACAGGATACAAAGGGTTGAAGATACCTTATCGATCTTTAATTAATGTCATGTTGTATATACAGTACATCGACAATATGTCAACATAAATACAGGATTCCAGACACAGGTACAACATACAATTTACAACAAAATAACGTATATTATCAGCAGGAAATCTATTGGTTCATGTTTTTGCAAATGTTTTACTTTCCTTTAATGTCTATAGTACTTGTTCAATACACAACGATACGGTGACAAAACGCAACGGAGAGAAGAATTATTTTGATATATGTGTCTAATGTATTTGCCGTATGTGATCTGAAGAAATTGAGTGCCAATGTTTCATTAAATTCAAATCCTCTAGTTGTATATTCATATTTATTTATATGAATATTAGTTTATCATGGCAGGCGTCTTCATAATATAATAAAAGAAAAAAAAAATTGTTGAATAATTCACATATCACTTTGAATTTAACTGGCACGTACAAATTGCATTCCATTTCCAGTGCTCTGGTTCATTTACCAATGTTAACGACAAAATTATTTGTGACATACTTACAGGTGAAACCTGGTGTTTAAAGAACGGACAAAAAGCCACGATCAAGAAGTCTTCTGTCACGATGCCGTATGGAGTCTTATTCAGATACTTGGACAAAGCTAACTTAAAGGCTTTCCAAGATAGACCGATTAAAAGTTGTAGAATGATGACAAGAAGGATAGCAATTTGATCGTCTCTGTTTTTCCGCATGAGTTTCTCGATGTAGAAAAGGAACAGTTAGTCCATTGGTAGTCTTTTACGGTCCCTATTTATGCTAAGGCATGCTTGTGTTTCACTTTTATGTGCTCCGCTTTCCTTTATCTTCATTGCATTATAAACATTTCAGGTAAGCAATATAAAAATAGTATAGACGACTAAGTCCTCACAATGATCTCAAGGCCAAATATTCTATATCCTTGTGTGATACTCGTTGATATGCCTGGTGGTTCCGTTGTTGTTAACATTGTTCTAATTTGGCTGCGTGACTTTACTTACTTGGATTTAAGTTGTGTCATCTATTAAGCAGAAGAAGCTGACCCCTCCCGGACACCTGGACTTATTTCTGTTCGTTGATTATAATTTTGTGATAATAAATAAACCTACGTTCGTTTTCATAATGTACTGTACACAAACTTTTAAAACATCTGTAACATTCCTTTAATTGGCAAAATGTATTTTTTTTTATAAAAAGTATACTGTGAATTGACTTTTTTTCTATTGGAAAATCCTTCATAAAATCTATACTACAACACACATGTGATGATTAGCTTCCGAGAAACAGGCGATAATATGTTTTACAAATATAGTTTATCGTCACATTCTTAGTTCGCAATCATTAACTTTCTCGAAACAAACTGTAAAATATATTCTACAAATGTAGTTTATCATCACTTTCTTATTTCGCAATGATTAACTTTCTCGAAACAAACTATAATATATTCTACAATTGATATTAATTATTACTTTCCTAGTTCTCGAATTTATTTCTATCAGGAAATTAGCGTAAGTGTAAAGAAATCGCACACGATAAGCAATTGATTTACAGTAAAAAGGTTTCGTTATCAATTGACTGAAAATGTTGAAATGAAATAAAATAAGTATCTATATATATATTAATAACTAGGCGTTGGCATTTCTGCTATTACGTGTAGTTACTTCCGATGTAAAAGAGATTTCCAATAAGAAGGCTTGTATAAGAGATGCACAAGCTATAAGCACAAATTTCAAATGAGAACTTGTGACCAATAATAAGTGCTTCAAGTGTTTGAATTTATGAGGTGACTTTAGAAAAATAACTGCGAAAATAATGTATCCCATAATTCATCCAATTCCGTAAATTCAACCACGGCATTATTCAATATTAAAATGATAATTCAAAATATAGCCTTCATCACTCATTTAAGGTATTCGTCTGACAGTTTTGTTTGAACTCGGTGTTATGTTTTTATTTTCAAAATGTATTTAATTAATATAAAGTTGGAAGATTATAAGATACCATGTTACGGTATAGGTTTTACAGGAATCTGAGAAACGCACCAGTCAGCGCTATCGTGGCTCTTCTTGGGCACTACCCCTGATTAATAACAGAAACAACTTTTACAAACGACCCATAACAGTGTTACACAATTAAACTGACACGTGATTGATACGGGATTTGAAAAGACTTTTTATTATCTTGATATTTATACACAGGTAGTAGATTAGTAGACAATCATTTGACGTTGTTTATTTTCTATCGTACACTGAACAAAACGTATTGAATAATAATTAAGACTTGGATATATATCAGTTATATGCGTAATTTACATTTCATATTGCAAAAACAGAAATGTGGTGATATTATTTCACAGCATTGCAGACAGTGGATAAAGCTAATATTAACATATCACGCGATGTTTACTGCAACGTCAAGCACTTAGAAAACCGTCAAAAAGGACGTAACGAAAACACTTTAATCAGCATCTGTCGTTGTAGTGGATGTTCCGCCAGGTATTCGCAGAATATCTTCAAGAGAAGATGAACGGGGTCTGGACAGTTGAATGGTATTCTGATCATGAGAGGATGATAGGTCATAATAAACCACCTGGCCACCGTTTCCGTGAAATGTTAACATGACGTCTCGGCTGGCAAGCCTCCGTAAACACCAGTGTCTCACTGTAAAATAAATTGAAAACACTTCCGTTTTGTTTTGTTTTTTTTTTTTTTTTTTTGTTCGAAAAAGATGAACGTAAGTTATTTTTAATGATTTTCCGTTTAATATTGTATATATTTCCCGCCTATTACAGAATATCTTTATTAATCACTTGTTCAACAATGACAATGATCTTAACACGCAAATATCAACTGTGCAGAAAAATGAAACACGTGACCACAAAAATATCCAGATTAAAGAATATAACTGATTTCCGTAGTAATGATTAAACCATGGTTTCAAAGATTCAGGCTATGAAGAAAAACATCTGTAGGACAATGATGCCCCTGCTTTCGTGAAATATAGCCGTTATTGATTGAGTAAAATGTCACCTTTGCCCCTATAACCTTGACAGATGTCCACCCACCAAGTAACTTCAGGTTATGATAATGTCGGCTAAACACTGTCTTATCTCTCATTAGTGTACACTGAAATACTCAAACTAGACAATTAGATATAACATTTAATGAATTATACTAAAATGATTTACTGTAACAATGTTTTCTTGGGAATTATTTTTTTAACTTTTTCTAACGAAACATTTTTCGTATTCACTCGATTTCTTGGATGAATAGTAGAAATCTATTAATATCTAACACTCAAGTAAAATGTATTAACAGTTCTTTGATTCATGGACATTCGATTTGAATTCATAGATTAAAACATATGCTAAGTCAACGAAAATAAATATGTCGCGAATTTATTTTCCATTACATACCTCCAGACACAAGAACGTTCCTGGTTAATGTAGACACGCTGTAATTGGAGAGACCATAGAAAGGATGTCCGAAACACACGGACTGGGTGGGGCCGAATCTGACGGTGATCCTACGTGGACACGTCTCCATGTAGCAAACAATCATAACAGAGGAACAATTACGCGGCGTTCTGTATGTAGTTGTTTCCCTAAAAGATATAAGTATATAACGTTAAGAAATCAAAATATAACAATAGTATGTTTAAGATTTCGAAATAATAGAGCAAGATTTATAACGAGGCAAAATAATGGGACAATGATTTAAGTATTGCCAAACCATTGTCAAATTAATGGAACAAGAAATACACCATTGCCAAATTAATGGGACAAGAAATATACATTTCCCAAGGGTCCGCAACCTTCCAACCCGCCGATCCAATGGGTGCGTCCCTGTCAGACATCGACGTTCAGCGAATAGCTATGGCAGTTCGTGTTCATTTGATGAATGACATGCAAACTATACAGAATAATCTGCACCTTACAGTCCAACAACAAATTGCCCCTCTACTTGACAAAGTTTCCCGCCTTGAGGCCGAGAATGACGATCTTCGTCATCAGATCGACGACTTGGAGCAATACGGAAGGAGGACCCTTGTTCGATTCTCTGGTATTCCGGAACAGGAGGGCGAGGACACTACCACCACCATCCTTGAGGCTGCTCATGCCTGTAATGTAGACCTCCCCCCAACCGCTGTGGAACGATCTCATCGAGTCGGCAAACCAGACCATACGAGAGACAAGCCTCGCCAGATTATAGTCCGTCTAACTTCCGTGGATGCGAAATTCCAGCTGCTGAAGACGAGTAAGGGATTTCGCAACAGTCCGTCCCACAAGTCTATCTCTGTCAACGAGGATCTGACAAAATACCGAGGAAAGTTAGCATTTCTCGCGAGAAATTTAGTGAAAGCCAATAAAATCGCCCAGACGTGGACTACAAACGGTAAAATTATTATCAAAGACAAGGCGTCTAAAATCCACAACATCCGTAGGGAATCTGAACTTGAGCCCTACGGGCATGTGATTGTCACCTAGTTCATTACATTGTTAACGTCGTTGTTAGCACGTGGACGTTGACGGACGTCCCTTCCTTGTTCTAATTCATGCATATACTAGATGTAAAACGGAATTTATTCATCATGTGGTAAAAATATTTTGTCCTACGATTTAGGCATAAATAATGTATAATTACCACGCGATTACAATGATCTGAACTTGATTTTACCTATGACGGTACGTTTTTTTGTCACGTGTTCATATTCTGTCTTATATAACAATGTACATTGTTTATAAGGTCTTGATACATGTATCAACAGCTCATTGAGGTACGATGGTATAAATTTATTTAGTGATTACATTATTATTATTATTTCTTTTTCTTTTGCTATGTTAGCGAGCATCTACAACTGAATACATTATACAAATGTATCTATACTTGAGTTAAGATACTTCACAGTTATCACTCAATTCCTTTATTCTGTAGCTATACTTGCACAATAGCGTATGCTTATCACGTGATTACATTGTTCCGTACAAAACCATACCTACATTGTATATGATGGTATACATTTATCACGTAACTACATTATTTTTTGCTATGTTATCGAATCTATACTTGAACTAAGATGTTTATTTTCAAATATCATTCAATTCCTTTATTCTGTAGCTATACATGCACGATAGTGTATGATTATCACGTGATTACATTTTTCCGTACAAAACTATACCTACATTGTATATGATGGTATACATTTATCACGTAACTACATTATTTTTTGCTATGTTATCGAATCTATACTTGAACTAAGATGTTTTTCAATTATCACTCAATTCCTTTATTCTGTAGCTATACATGCACATTAGTGTATGCTTATAATTATCACGTGATTACATTGTTCTGTACAATACTTTACTGACATCGTATATGATGGCATGCATTTATCATGTGACTACATTGTTTTTTGCTATGTTATCGAATCTATACTTGAACTAAGATGTTTTTTTCAAATATCATTCAATTCCTTTATTCTGTAGCTATACATGCACGATAGTGTATGATTATCACGTGATTACATTGTTCCGTACAAAACTATACCTACATGGTATATGATGATATACATTTTTCATGTGACTACAGTATTTTTGCTATGTTATCGAATCTATACTTGAACTAAGATGTTCTTCAACTATCCCTCAATTCCTTTATTCTGTAGCTACACCTGCATGATGGTGTATGCTTATCACG